GAGCGGCTGGAGGAGCGCGAAGGGCCGGCAGGGCGCCGCGAACCGTCTCCACGAAGAGCCCTGTGCCGCCCGGAAGGCGAACCCCGGCACTCCGGGCAGCGCCAGGCGGTCTCCGCTGGTGGAGGCGCCCGGGGGGATCCGCGCAGCCTCCCGCTGCTGAGCAGCAGAGTTAGCCGTCAAGGTTTTGGCCACTGACGTGGCCGCCGCCCCCCGCCCCCCTTGGGAAGGGATCGCCCTGAGGTTCAGTCGTCTAAAAAAGCATTCACACGCATACGAGGCTTGGGTTTCAACGGGGTGCGTTTCTATGGATGCTTCAGGGGCGTTTCCGTGCTGGTCTGGAATCACCCAAGTTGTGGAGGCGAAAGGGGACCCGAGGGGTCATCTAGTCCACCCCACCCTCCTGGCCGTGCAGGAAATCGAGCTCTCTCCCCGCCAATACATGGTCGGCGCACAGATTTTGCCTGTCCATATACTCTAGCCGGCATGAAGAAAAGAAACGAGACGCGGTTGCCCCCTTGCACAGACCCTCGGGCGGCCTCGATCCTCTCTTACTTACCGGCCGGCAAATTCTGCCTAAGCCCGCGGGCCAAACCCACAAGGAGCACCGCCCGTCGAGGCTTGGAAGTCAAAGCGGCTGTGAAAGTCAACGGCATTGCACGCGCCGCGTAAAGCAGGGATGGATGGCCACAGACACCGCGATGACAGAAGCGCTTGGAAGCAGGCAGCGTGGAAGGGCCCTTACTCCCAAGGAGAACCAACGCTCAAGGGGTGGCGGGAAGAGACCTTCTCCCCACCAGCCTGGCCCTACAGCTGGGGAGGCCACCTCTTCTCCCTCCCTCTTCACCCACAGGGAGGGCGAAGTGCCTTCAGGTCTCACAGGATCGTAGGAAGAATTTGGCCAAAAGTGGGAACGCGTGGCGTCACTTTGCGCAAAAGGGCTCCGTTCTCTCTTGCTGTGCAATTGGTATACTCTAGTTTCTCTTTAGATCACATAAATCTGCGCAATTCGAGGTGGGCACAAACCGCCCCGTCTTCCTCCGGGTGGGGCCTTGTCTGCGAGCAGCTAACACGGAACAGACGTTTGTTGAATTCGATTCCGCCTTCTCTTAGTCCTACATAAGCTTTAGGTTGAAACCGTTTCCAGCCTCTGGGGTCATGTATATTCCTAGGGTATTAAAGTATACGGGGGTACAGCCTGGATGTATTTTGTAAAGAACGTTACAGAGGCACCGACCCAGTGTGGGTTTCCGGACTGTTTCCACGAGCGAGGTTTAAATGGCGTTTTTTTAACCCGTTTTACAAAAGCAAAGGCAAAACGTTATGTTATGATAGCACAAAACGGTTCGTGAAGGCTTAAAGGCGCCTTTAAAACTGGCTAACGTCTATTAAAAACGGCTATCCACTTACATCTGTCGTGTTCGCACGCAGAACAAATAACGCATCAGACTCAAAGGAAGTTTTTAAGACTACATACCCTCTAAAAACGTCGCTTTCCCTGCTTAAACCATCTGTGCAGGACTGGAGGATCAGATCAGCGCCACTGCTGAAACCTGAATGTCCTTCTCCTGCCCTGTGGTCAGTGGCACAGACTGCATTTAGGGTACTCTGTATACCCTCAGAGACATGCTTGTTTTTCTTCTCTTAAAAGGTTAACCTCCATTGAAAAACAACCGCAACGGAAAAGCCTTGCCAAATGAAAGAGAGGGCTTCCGGCCCCCCCCCGCAAAAAGGAAATGAATTGTGGGCTCACTCATTCCTCAAGCAGAGCAAAGGTCTTGTCTTTTTGGACTAAAACTCCCAGTATCCCTCGCTGGCAGATTGTGGGCGTTGTAGTCCTAAAAGAATTTTTTTGGTCTGTTTTGGGGTTTAGGAAGAAAAGAAAAAGTCCTCATCGTTCGTATCTGGGATTTTGCTTACAACTCTGGGCCGAGGTTCTCGCGTGCAAACAAGGGTGTGTGTGTGTGTTCTGTTAACCAAGATCACAGGGAGGCCAGAAGGCCGAAATGTACGAACCTTGAGCCTTGCTTCGTCCTGGGTTGAAGATGATCAACGGGCAGAAAAGGGCAGGAAGCCTTGCAAGAATGCAAAGTGGTTTCCGAACTCTTTTTTTGTGGGTGTGTGTCGAAAGCCTCTGTTTTGGTTTGGACTACATATTCCAGAATCCAGGGCCACGACCGCCTAGGGGAGTCGGGGGAGAGGTAGTGCCCCAAAGCACCTTTCCTAAGCTGAGGTCGTTCTGCCCAGAGCCTGGGCAGAGGGAGAGAAACCCCTCCACAGGCGCCGCGGGAGAGAAAGGGCGAACACCTGGTGGGTCGGGGCAGCGTTTGTCCGCCTTTGCTCGCCCTCCCGGCTGCTTCCTCTTTCGGATGTCCTTTCCCTCCAGGCCAAGGAAGACAGCCCCGATCATATCCAGGAGCTTCCCCCTCCCCCCTCCCCGCCATCC